TGAGACACCTGCGTGTGGGCCACTTCTTGTTTATTCTAGGTAATTAGCAATCAGTGTGATCAACTGATCTGGATCTAATCTTGTTGGGTTTGGGGTATTTGCATCAGAATGACAATAACTGATTCATGATCAGGAAACTAAAACTATATACACTTCTGTTATTACCTCAAAGACCGGTTTGAGGAATTTAAGCAATTCATATCATCATGACATAAGATGTTTTGGTTCAGTTCTGTGTTGGACCTATTCGATACACTATGTTTCAGGTGTACGAGGTCAGATAAAGTAGGTTGTATATATATATACAAATTATACAACAACGTCATGAACAGCAATTATGATTGTATGTTTCATTGGCATTCTAGCATGCGGCTTCTTAATAGCAACTTCTTGTTCTTTGCATAAAGCAACGTGTGACGAGCGCTGTGAATGTAGTGACTGACGAAGGGTACTACATACCATAGCCTACGAAGAGCTGACCAAGCTATAGACTTCAATCAGCACCTGTTTTTTATGACTGTTTTTACAACTTAATCCGTCCTGCTTATCGGCTTCATGGCTGTGCTATTTATTGTTCTTACTTCCCACCTGGCCTCGTCCAATTATCTACCCCTTGTTATTCAAGTACACGATGTTTGTCACAGCATTCGATCATTCTAATCACTTGGTTTTTGTCACCGTTAGCTTGAACATGGTGTGAGAACCTACACAGAAACGTTGTTCTTTGCAATTAACAAGAAGTTGCTATCAAAAAGACCGTATGCTTTTATTAGCAATTTTGCTGTCGCATTCCTGGGAAATTAGAGACAATTGTGAATGTCGAGTCACCACTGATTTTTTGAAATGATGTTAGTCACCCAGGGGATTCCTACAAAATATCGTGTTAAATTGTTGAAAATATACCAGTCCTAATGATTCATTCATCCACATCTCTTGTTTACCTAACACTGCCGTTGCAATAAACAACCTATACATTGGATCAGTAAAAGAGCAAAACTTGCTTATGAAAATATCTCTTCAGGTAATGTGTTGAAACGGCTGGTTTGTGCACATAGATAGTGCTAAACATAATGTACCATTGCACAAATGAAATGCATAAAGTCAGTATTTTGAAGTCAGTGGTCCAACAAACTATAATGTCTACGTTCTATCGAAAAGGTATCAAAATTTTCTTAGATAAAATGGTGAATGAAACTTGATGAATACGTTTGGAAAGAGCTACGATATATACCTGCAAAACGCAGAGGTTGTTCGAGATTTATACAGTATTGTGATTTAAACAGTATTTTTAAAAAATTCCATTAATGTTTACATTTTTCATAATACACGACATAACAAAATGGAAATAGGATTATGGCCTATGTCAATGCTTCTCCGCATATAGTTCGTTATTATTTTGACTTAATTCTATGGAGCAGACATTAGGACATTAATGAATGAATCAAAACAAAAGAAAATAAAGAAAAGAAAATAAAGAATAAGACACCAAGTGCATTTAATGTTTACAGGTTGTTACTTGAATTCCGTAAAGCGGTTAGTTTCAGTTATATAATTCTGAACGGATTTCTTGTCTAAAGGAGATAAATCGTCATTGCCGTGAAGTATAGTATATATGCTGAGGTGGTTAAGGACAAAGTATCTCCTCGATGAATTTTCACATTGTTTTGTCACTGAACAACACGCTCCATGCTGTTGCTACCGGGATCATAATATATAGATCTTATCTATTTTATGATTTGTGTTGTAATACGAGTGTGAAAGGAAACGATTATTCATACAATAATATCATGAGAAAATATACCAATCACGAATTAAACGCATATGATTTGCACACCACCATATGATTTTAGAGCCTCACGTTAGTGACTTTTCACATTGTTTTGTCACTGAACAACACGCTCCATGCTGTTGCTACCGAGATCATAGTATATAGATCTTATCTATTTTATGATTTGTGTTGTAATACGAGTGTGAAAGGAAACGATTATTCATACAATAATATCATGAGAAAATATACCAATCACGAATTAAACGCATATGATTTGCACACCACCATATGATTTTAGAGCCTCACGTTAGTGACTTACATTCATATCGTTCTTTCAACACATTTTCGCTTCATGGATGACAACGTCTATATTATATAGGATGCGGCGTTTCAGTATAGAGTATTATACCGTTGTCAAGCGAGACTGAGGTGCTGTAGCAGACTTATATATACATCAACATGGATTAAGCAGTTCAAATCCGCGGACACAAGCCCTCCATCAACAGAGATGAAGGATATCTCATCCCATCTGCATACAATGAACTGATAGCAACAACTTAGCAGAGCATTCCAGCCATGTATATTTTCTACCTCTTGGACATTTGACTTCCCCCTGTTGTCACTGCTTTATTACCCTATCCTATAGTTGTTGCTGTTAATCCCTTTGATGCACGCCTACATGTTGTTTTACTTATTCCCTGTAAAGTCTGATCTGTGCAAAGAGTGGGCACCTGCTCCTTTTGATAATTATGATTACCCCCTCTCTAATAGAGTTTTGTCATTTGCAATGAATTATAGTAACCCTTATCGTAGATTACCCAGCAGCATATGTTTGCTTGGACACTGAGCCGTTGCCTACCTTTTCCTGTACCACATAAAACCTGCATGGTATGCTGGTTGATATTGTTATTTGAAATCGGCAGACAATGCACACCTGTTGTTGCTGCAGGACAATGAATATTTCCGATACGACATTGTAAGTACTTGGGGGTGCAGACATATGACTTAAATATGTGTGCGCATGCTGCTTAATATCATATTTGTGTAATACCACAATATACATGGATAAACTATCAAACTATGCATCGTTTAGAAAAAAAGTATTTTGAATACATGAAAGAGAATATTTATAAAGTTATAACTTGTGAAATTTAATTGTGCGGACCCAATGTATGTTTCATTACAAAGTTCTCTGTTAATGTCTTCCTACAATCAACAAAATATCATCATCTGGTGTTTAACTGAACCGATAAAACCTACTGGATAGAACCCAAAAGACGTGTATTGTCCATGCGGCACCACCCGACATTGTTTTGGTGTTTTCCCTTGAGTGACCGCTCTCTGGATTACGCAATCGTTAATTGCTGTGGCCACCAGGGACAACCGAACCGGGACGGTGGCCGCTTGTAGGGACAGCCCCATAAACAACAAATTATCAGGTGTGAAAACAATTAGATTTTCTCGGGTATTGTCACTTTGAACAGTGATACATTGTCGCTTAGGTATTGTTTAACATCTCAGTTCGGTACACTGGTCATGTTGAGCGTGTTGATGGAGGCATTTCTAGGAATATGTAAATGATCAAATATTGTTATTATGTATCTAGTATGTGTCCAAACATATTGAATGCATTTATATTTATAGGAAAAGACTGAGGGTTTTTCATGTTGTTCAGAATATATGCTAATAATAAGCGTTCAATGATTTGAATACATGAATTCATTCACCTAAACTATATACAATGTATATAGAGAGATGATATATATGCCAGGGTAGAGATTGCAAGCGGAGTCTGTACTGGTAGAAACTTATTATATAGAATAACCTATGCAATTGCAATCTCTACCAGTGGAAGCTCCATTCTGATCCTACATATGATTTTTTCATATGTGAAACCATAGTTTGTATCAACAAAATGGTCATGATTAGGACATTATCAATTAATGCAATTTGTATTAAAGTGAGATACATCGATATGGAATTATTTGAATTTCTTTACATTTTCACATATTAAAATAACATGCATAACAAAATGAATATTATTGTTCAGCAAATAAAGTGTTGTTTGCCTACAGAACAATCAGGGTTTCTACCAGTTGAATTGGAAATTGTACTGGTAGAGTCGGATCTGACAGGTAGGATCCGATTTCAATCTCTACTAGTAGGATACTGGTAAAGACTGCGAAGTCTCTACTGGTAGAATCTCCGATCAGATCGCAATCTCAACCCTGACAAATATTTATATATATATATAGGACACATTTCTCTCCGAGAGGATCTATCTCTGAAACATTTGGCAACAGGGCTCATGTCTAACATGAAATGACTGTAACTTCGTCCAGTGAAACTCATGTTATACAGAACGTGAATAAAAGATGTATAAAAAATCACCATATTATTTTTATTTTCATTTCGTCTTGATAAGATGTTAAAATATGCCTTGTAAGATTTGTGCGGCGATCTACTTCTGGGAACCATTATCCCCTCCCACTTGAAGTTGTTTACAGGAGAAAGTAACATCATTTAAATAAAGTCCATATTGAATTATCCTCAAATCGTGTCTAATATTTTTCAATTAAGATAATTCTGGTAGTGAAATAAAAACTTCTGCCAGAAATTTCTGCGGGAAAAAAAAATCCTGCCAGAAATTTCTGCGGTAAAAAAAAAATCTGCCAGAAACTTTGCGGAAAAAATTAATTCTGCCAGTAATTTCTGCAGAAATGCATTTTCAGAGCCATTTGTGAGCTTATGAACACGTGCGCGCACTGGCACATGAACTTTTGAGTTCATCTCCTCGAGATCTTTCCAATGATATAAAATATGTCTTTGTAGCTCGCTTCCTTCTATGTGTCAAGTTAGGACTCGCTGGCCATTCCCAAGTTGTCCCACCCGGCCTTGTGACATGCCGATGTCATCCTGGGGGTTACATAATAGGTGACATGCCGATGGAATCCCGGGGGTTACATGATAGGTGACATGCCGATGGAATTCAGACAAGTTACATAATAGGTGACATGCCGATGTCATCCCGGGGGTTACATGATAGATGACATGCCGATGGAATCCAGGAGGTTGAATAATGGGTTACATGCCGATGTCATCCAGACAAGTTACATAATAGGTGACATGCCGATGGAATCCAGACAAGTTACATAATAGATGACATGCCGATGTGATCCAGGGGTTACATGATAGGTGACTTGCCGATGGAATCCATAAACAAACAATTCAATCGAAGAACGATTTAGTTTAATTCGAAAACATATGGAATGATACAGTCCACAACAAACATGATTGAAGACAGCAGGGAAATGTTGCTGACGTGGCTGTATTTTTGGACATCACATAGATGATAGAACTGATCAACTAAGGTTACACCAGGTCAGGGCTAGTGGGGTCAAGAGGTCAAGGTCATACCGCAGGAAAATAGTACTAAATTCCATCCAGCTCTTCTGATGTATTGTATGCGTTGATGGATTTAAACGAATCCATCTTGCTTTATCGTTCAGAGAAAAAACAGTGAAATACATAGGGAGACGACTATTTGAGACGGAGCCTATTGGCGCGTATTGCTCTCATATATTCCGACAATTTGATGTGGGGAAATGAGTCGAGGAGGGGTATAAGAAGAATATATTGTTCCTCATAATTCATGACAGACATGCCTCGCCGAAGGATATTGACAAACTTCCGTGATGTTATTGTTAAAGTAACATTTTTAGTCTCACAGTTGTAATTACCTGTCATGAAAACCTGTATTTACAGCTGGAGCTGAAAAGATATCGTGTTTCCATACATAATTAATCACTTACATTACATTGCCTGGCGTACGACGGGAGAGTAAGTTAATGTGTTGGGTTTTATCGCCCAACAGAATTTCAGTTAGGTGACAGCTGCAGTAATGCTTACTAAGTACGTACGTAGGTACAGTGCCGACAAAGCCCTCAATCACAGGGTTCTGGCACACCTAAGGGAGGCAACTCGCGAGGAACTGCGCACTTGAGACGACTAGACCTCCAGGGCCACTGGTTGTGGAATTATGACATAATTTAGCGTCTCTGGGACGATAAGGCTACAGCTGTAAGTATTCGAGACTTACTTCACGACACAACGATCTTCAAACTATTGAAAACGAAACTGACTTATATTCATGCCAAATACAACGCTGGCTCCATATACAACAATACATGTAACGTTACCGATGAGTATACATGTACGTCCAGCTATAGCACTTTGACTGGGGTTATGGGGCTGGCCTAAGATATATTTCATAAGCTAACCACACATCATTGCAACATCCTTACTGTATTGATTGTAATCTTGTACCTACATTATTTGTTACAAAATAACAGGTCAACAAAAGTTGATTTGTTCCATATACACCAAGACATACGTACGTCATAGAACCACAATGTCACAAAACAATTGGTCATTCACATCAAGTTACCTCTTCTGGAAGACCTGGACTTCCTCCTCGACAGATCCGAATATTGGGCATTATAATATCCAACTTTGGCAAGATATTCGATGTGTATCACTTTCATAAACAACACTTAATCCAAACAACATACTGAAACAACACCCTGAAAATTCTACAATGACAATAAGGCTGAAAAATGAACATATCACAACACGTGATCAGTCTTCTACACACACACCCCTGACGGTCGACGATAGAAAGATGTCAAACCTGCTCAAAATATATCAGATATTCGTCTTTAAAAATAGTTTCATAATATACAATGCAAATACTGATGGATTCCTCACAAACAACAGACATCACCACATCAACTTAGCCCCGGCTTCAGCAACAGAAGCCTGCAGGGAACATCTGTGTATATATTCCTGGCTCACACGATACTGATTCAAGTGTGGATTCTGTGATGTAGGATTCCACTGGGTTCTTGTACAAAGAGTGCCTCTCCTTCAGACATACAAGCTGTACGTACGTCTAAAAATACCCCGGACCCTGCCCGAGGATATATTACACAGCCCACTTCCGGTGTGCCCATGCTGACTCCGTTCTGCGCATGACGGAAGTGTTAACTGGGTTGCTTGAAGTGGGTGTTGACGTAACACATATCAGCCTGTGAGTTCCAGTAACGGTAATGGTGGTATCTGCTGCCACTGTTTTTGTGGTAGAACTGGAATCCGTTCTTCTTTAGGCTCATGTAGGCATCGTAGATGTCCTGGAAACGCTCTCTGGATGGTTCGTTTGGGAATATGTGCCACTCCACCAGAAACTGGCGGATTTGGGGAAACAGCCCGTCCTTCATGATGTTGGCTGTCACAGCCCACTCGTACACCTCGATATCGATCTTCAATACATCGATCACACGCTGCCAATGAAAACAGACACAGGTCACGTTACATACTCAGAGTGCTAAAACTGAATTGTAATAATGTGAACAGATATAAATATTTATTTGCACGTGATAGTTTCTAACTCAATGTGTTCTCAGATTTCTGGAATGATATATTCTATACAAACTCAGTCATCATCCTTCCCATAATCATTAAAAATGTCTTCTTCAAGCTGAATCTTTCACCGGCTTCCGACTAAATCATAAGCATGTGTCTATGAATCACTTTCACACAGTGATGCCACCAGGTGTTCACCAGGGCATTCTGCACTCTGCGGATCGTAGGATTCTGGCACAACTAAGGGCAACAACTATATACAATAAATTGGCCCGTGCACCATCAATTCCAATGGACAACGTCAACGTAGGACTACAAACCTTCTCGTGCCCCAGTAGCTTCATAATGGACTTCAGCGTTCGGACCTTCCAGCTGGTGGAATGTCGGACGTACCCGTCAAAGTTGGGGTGGAATGAATCGGTGTCGGAGGCACCTAGACCCATGTTTTTGAAGAACACCCTCTCGGAATGTCGGTGGTCTGTTACCCCCATACTGAAACAGTGAGTGAGTGAGTGAGTGAGTGAGTGAGTGAGTGAGCGATTTAGTACTCCGTTGCATTTCAAAGAACTTCGCGGGATGTTACCAACTGTTGAGAGACAGTTAATCAATTAAGTCCTACACAAATGTGCATTCTTTGTAAATCAGTTACGACACTATCTAGTGTTGTGTTGTTTGGTAGTGTTATTCATGGTGGAACAGTGTCTCAAGCGTATCACGTGTTTTCTCTAAACATTAAGTAGGAGTCACTTGTGTGCTATATTTAGACTTGTGCTATGTGGAGACTCAATGTTCTGGAAGTTACTACATGTACCACAGTCACCTGGCCCTTTCCAGCATAGTATTCCCATAAATAACATTGAAAATACCAGAACAGTTACTCTACATATACGGGCGTGTTTTTGCCTCGGTCAGTTCTGTGAAGATCACATTCACCCTGGACTCTCAGCCAAGGAACATGGACCACTTGCAGAGTGGAGAACATCATCACTTATAGTATAATTACTCCACGCTTATATTACACAGCCATTGTATTTATACTGCCATTGTATTTGTAAAGTCATTGTATTTTACTGTCATTGTATTTTTACTGGCATCGTATTTATACTGCCATTGTATTTATACTGCCATTGTATTTGTAAAGTCATTGTATTTTACTGTCATTGTATTTTTACTGTCATCGTATTTATACTGCCATTGTATTTATACTGCCATTGTATTTGTAAAGTCATTGTATTTTACTGTCATTGTATTTTTACTGTCATCGTATTGGTACTGCCATTGTATTTGTACTGTCATTGTATTTGTACTGTCATTGCATTTGTACTGTCATCGTATTTGTACTGCCATTGTATTTGTACTGTCATTGCATTTGTACTGCCATTGTATTTGCACTGCCGATGTAAAAAGAATTCACAAAGAGTGCAATTATCACAAGGACTTTCACACGAACACCAACCTTGGGTCAAAGCTGTACACAGTACACCCTCGCTTTGCCATTGCGTCATCGAAGCTGAAGTCATTGTCTATACTGAAATGATAAAAGAGATCCCAGATGTACGAAGAAGGACAGACTAATGAGGCTAATGACCTTTATCATCCAAAACTGTGTACCACAGGAGATATGACTTTGTGAGATCAAAAGATATCTCCTAGGAATTATCGTTTTGACAGTAGATTTTGTAAAATGCCCTGCCAATGCTATGACGCCACAATGCTATGACATCGCTAATGGCACAACGTGTTCAGAGTGATTTTTGATGATAAATAGAATCTCACACTCGTACGCAAGCCTCGGATATTTGTTACTTTAATCAACTCGTGTTGATATATTTGATATCAGAAGACACTTTGATGAGATTCTCTATTTATTTTAGCTTCCTATGTTATTATCAACTGTCATTTAGTTTAAAAGAAAACATTTCGTTTGTGAACCTATATATTAAATAATTTGAACATCATATATACACACTCTTCCCTTAAAACTATATAACTCACTCACCCACAAACAAATCCAATCACTCGTTCACCAACTTAAAGGCATAATTTCACACATTTTGGACAATATTTTGGTCTGTATTATATATTTGAGGCATATGCACGCACTTTAGCTTCCCATTGATGAAATTGAACTATGATCCTATTGAACACTTTCCATTTATGGAATGCAAACAAATTGCTCCGTACATCGAAAACTGTCGCACGCGGTGTTATCGATGTTTGCCGAACTGGTTTCAATCACAAGTTATTCGTAAAGAGCGCTTCAAGGGACATAACCCTATGGGCTTCGTTTGAAATAATGTTTGGCTGGTAGAGGGCGCAAGAGTCCATATTTAATGCAGCAACGTTGCATTAATTCATTCGAACTTTTTAATTTAATAATGTACACTAATAATATGGTAGCTTCCCTCAAGGCTGATAGTCAGTATTATTGGGAGAAATGCATTATATATATTTAGAGAAGTGCGGTGTGAAATAGTGCCTTTAACCACACACTCACTCAGACACACTCACTCACTCAAACACACTCACTCACTCACTCAGACACACTCACTCACTCAGACACACTCACTCACTCAAACACACTCACTCACTCACTCAGACACACTCACTCACTCAAACACACTCACTCACTCACTCAGACACACTCACTCACTCAAACACACTCACTCACTCACTCACACTCAGACACACTCACTCACTCAAACACACTCACTCACTCACTCAGACACACTCACTCACTCACTCCTCAGACACACTCACTCACTCACTCACGATCACTCACTCACTCACCCAAAGGAGTACACGAGACAGGGGTCCCTTGGTTTGTAGTCCTTGTCCCAGCACACTGGCCAGTTGCCCATGAGTTCCTTGTTCTGACACTGGTAGCTGTCAGCGCTGTCCATGTCCCTGAAACACCCGACCACCACATGGTGCTGCTTTACAAGTATACTGTTACCGTAACAGATTGTTTCTAACAATGAACCCGGATTTCCTTCCCCCAGTAAATCAGACTCACCATTCTATTAGACACGCCCACTGCCACCACAGTGTTGCGTTCGTTCGAGGCGTTTCACCTGAAATCGGAAACAAGAACGTAAAACGTCGGAAGGAAATGTGTCAGTGCAGTGTCAACTTGACCCGAAGTTTGTAGCTACACAGTCTTTAGTCTCTGTTAGACTATGGGAGTTAATATGTTTGTAACTACACAATCTTTAGTCTCTGTTAGACTATGGGAGTTAATATGTTTGTAACTACACAATCTTTAGTCTCTGTTAGACTATGGGAGTTAATACGTTTGTAACTACACAGTCTTTAGTCTCTGTTAGACTATGGGAGTTTATATGTTTGTAACTACACAATCTTTAGTCTCTGTTAGACTATGTGAGTTAATATGTTTGTAGCTACACAGTCTTTAGTCTCTGTTAGACTATGGGAGTTTATATGTTTGTAACTACACAATCTTTAGTCTCTGTTAGACTATGTGAGTTAATACGTTTGTAACTACACAATCTTTAGTCTCTGTTAGACTATGGGAGTTTATATGTTTGTAACTACACAATCTTTAGTCTCTGTTAGACTATGGGAGTTAATATGTTTGTAACTACACAATCTTAAGTGTCCGTATAGTGGGGAATACGAAGTCACATCTTCTTAGCGATACATCGCGTAAATAGCATTTGTTTTTCTTCAAATTACATTAAACGCTTGCCTTTCTATACCATCACCTGCTTCTCTTGTGGCATCAAACGACATTCACTCACTCACCTTTCCATATCTCACACAGGTCGGGGGTGGTCGGGATTCTGTCACAGTTATTGTACAGCAGGTAGATCACTATGGTCACAAGGCTAACGAGGCTGAGGGGGAGCAGGACCCGGAGACTCTGACGTGCCTTGACCCCATTCCAAGCGTTGCTGGCCATATGGACGACTGGTCGGGACTTATCTAACATTCTGCTACCAAATAACTGTAATAGAAAATACAAGGATTCACACATCAGGCCATGTAGTCAACTTTGCCATAAAGTTATTGGCTACACTGAAACGATTAAGTCCAAACTGAAATGAGACCCCGGACCTCGAATGTCCGGATATATAGTATGTGAACATGTGTTTCCGGCAATTCTAGCACGGTCTGTGTGACAGGATGGGTTAAATATCACTATCATTGAAGCTTGACTAATTATCAATGACAATTAAAGGCAAAAGGGAAAAAAACAGAAAACCTCAAACCTTCCTCTCTCCTTCCCTCAACTCCCACCCCCACGTAAGGTAAACTATACAGTATATTTGTCTTTACCAGTATACCCTTCTCCTACACTACAGCTTAACCGTTTTATAATTTTTCAGCGCCCAATATGCTACACTTTTTAATCACTATCCTCAACATACCCCAACCCCATCTGACCTCCACCCCTAAATCCTACCCAACTTTTACTACTACTCTCTGTTTAGTTATATTGCTCATCTACTCCTCGTCTTTAATTCTCATAAATCATTAGATTTATATTTTCATTTCCTAATCTCAGCTTTTATTTTTTTTTTCTTGTTTATTAACTTTTTTCAATCCAAATTAGGTAAGGGTTGGCTCTATCATGTATAATTTTTGGATACGGTAGTTTATACCTCATTTCGTTAATATTAATTTATTTACCTTAGATCCACCTACTCTATTGGCGACATAGGCTAAAGCCGACGTTACACGTGTAACGATGATGATGCTACATACTAACGACGAAACAGATACCACTCACAGGTCCTCGTGTCTTTGCGAGGATTAAAGATTTAAAAACCAAAAGTTGGGGTAACCCCCGACTCGAAATGCTTCACAGTACAATAAATCATGATGTATTGTACTGTGAAGCATTTCGAGTGGTGGCGATGAACATGTACAAGCGGATCTCTGAAAATCAGAGACGATATAATGAGACCGCGAAACTGCTAAAAATGTCCAAATCAATATACAGTGCAAACCGCCTAAGTAAAGATCGCTTAACTAAACATACCGGATAAGTAAACACTATTCTTTGGTCCCGTCAAATTTCTTCAATAATTATCATTAGTAGAGTCCGGTTAACTAAACTCGGATAAGTAAACAATACCGCTTAACTAAACGTTTTCTTACGGTCCCTGGAAGTAAATTACTTAACAAAAGAGACCGGATAACTGAATTAGCGATCACCACATAATCCGACATGAGATACTGTAATGACAGCCTACAACATGGTGGCCATCTATGTTGCAGAGAAGGAGATGAAGAGATGTTTTGCAAAGAGACATTGCCTCATGACAGTTTTTGTGGAGTAATAAGCTAGACTGTGACTTAAATATTTTGTTTGATTTTGTTTGATTAAGTTTGATTTGTATTACTTTGTATTATAAATGTATTACTTAACTCAATGAAATTTTATGGAATAAAACATGTCATATTACTTACAAATGATGTCTGTTATTCTGCTGTATACATATACATGTACATTGTACATACATATGGTTGTCAAATTAGACTATTAGGATGACTATTCACAGATCGCATCTTTCATAACATCTTGATCTGTATCTTGGGTATTGATTGTTGCAACACACAGCATGAACAGCGACAACGTATACTTACATGAAGCGAAGGTATAGAGACTATTCTGTGGTATCTCCACCTACCTGGCGAGATTTGACGGAATACTTTCCACATTGCCCCATACCAGGATGCTCGTAATGCTCTTATATATTCACATTATATACGGCCACATACTAATCTCACAAACATAATATCTGTCCGATGTGCAATTATCACCTCACTGCTTGTTGCCCTGGTTACCTGCAGCTGACAGGAATATCTGTGACAAACTGTCGCTCAGGTGTAATACCTATATAGTTTATCTCTACAGCACAGGTGCAGTTGAACAGGACACCTGCTTCCACGACCACCTGGTGTCATCATAGTCGCTGAGAAAGTCGTGGTTGTGATATTTCATTTTAAAACAGAATAAGAAACATAGAAGAAAAAGGAAAAGAAGAAGAAAAATTATTTCCTTACAAGCAAACTCGAACGTAAATATTCCCGGCTGTCAATATAAAGTTTTAAATATTGAAATATACTTCACAATAAAACTGTTTGTTTTGAGTCTCTGACACTTAAGAATCCTCTAAATGTGATTTTATGTTGTTTCAACAGGCAATAAATAACAGCTGTAATAAATCCCTAAAGTAGGTTCGCATTTTTGTCAATGAGACATAAAACGGAAGGGGTCCACTTTGGCTAACAAATGCTATCATGATTTCTTGCCTTACTTCAGTGAAAACCAGGCGGGTGGGTGTTCCGGTAGGCAGTTGGTATGCCCAAATATGTTTGAATAATTATAGAAGAAAAAAATAACCTCTCTCGTACACTGAATAACTTACATGACTCTCCACAAATTCTCCAACCTCTCTCGTACACTAAATAACTTACATGGCGCTCCACAAATTCTCCAACCTCTCTCGTACACTAAATAACTTACATGGCGCTCCACAAATTCACCAACCTCTCTCGTACACTAAATAACTTACATGGCGCTCCACAAATTCTCCAACCTCTCTCGTACACTAAATAACTTACATGACTCTCCGCAAATTCACCAACCTCTCTCGTACACTAAATAACTTACATGGCTCTCCACAAATTCACCAACCTCTCTCGTACACTAAATAACTTACATGACTCTCCACAAATTCACCAACCTCTCTCGTATACTAAATAACTTACATGGCTCTCCACAAATTCTCCAACCTCTCTCGTACACTAAATAACTTACATGGCGCTCCACAAGTTCTCCAACCTCTCTCGTACACTAAATAACTTACATGGCTCTCCACAAATTCACCAACCTCTCTCGTACACTAAATAACTTACATGGCGCTCCACAAATTCACCATCCTCTCTCGTACACTAAATAACTTACATGGCTCTCCACAAATTCACCAACCTCTCTCGTACACTAAATAACTTACATGACTCTCCACAAATTCACCAACCTCTCTCGTACACTAAATAACTTACATGGCGCTCCACAAATTCTCCAACCTCTCTCGTACACTAAATAACTTACATGGCTCTCCTACACAATTCCACAAATTCACCAACCTCTCTCGTACACTGAATAACTTACATGACTCTCCACAAATTCACCAACCTCTCTCGTACACTTAATAACTTACATGTCTCTCCACAAATTCACCAACCTCTCTCGTACACTAATAACTTACATGACTCTCCACAAATTCACCAACCTCTCTCGTACACTAAATAACTTACATGTCTCTCCACAAATTCACCAACCTCTCTCGTACACTTAACACTACAATACCAACCTCTCTCATTACACTAAATGACTTACATGACTCTCCACAAATTCTCCAACCTCTCTCGTACACTAAATAACTTACATGGCTCTCCACAAATTCTCCAACCTCTCTCGTACACTAAATAACTTACATGGCTCTCCACAAATTCTCCAACCTCTCTCGTACACTAAATAACTTACATGGCTCTCCACAAATTCTCATTTAATAAACATACTATGAAAGCCTTATCCTATCGTTAGTTTTGTGATAAATGGAATTTTTTTAGATTTGCCTGTTTTACGCATCATATTTTAAAGGTAACAAGAATAAAACATGAAGATATTCCCCAATTATTGTTTAGGGTTAATATGTACCACATTTGCTTGATATTTTCAATATAGTGTATATATCACACATCCTAAGATGCTTCGGTGGAAGATCAAAGGCGCCGACAGTACTTTATCAGACGAAAATGTACACTTTTTGCATTACGTCACAATGCATTAGCGTCACTGCGCTATTCCAGTCTACCCCCTCGTAATCGAATGTACCCTTGGTAACCGACGTCGCTCAGTAAACTACACTGTAGCACCCCGTTTCTTTCTTTGCAGGGTGTCCGCCCGCAGTAAACTACACTGTAGCACCCCGTTTCTTTCTTTGCAGGGTGTCCGCCCGCAGTAATCTACACTGTAGCACCCCGTTTCTTTCTTTGCAGGGTGTCCGCCCGCAGTAAACTACACTGTAGCACCCCGTTTCTTTCTTTGCAGGGTGTCCGCCCGCAGTAAACTACACTGTAGCACCCCGTTTCTTTCTTTGCAGGGTGTCCGCCCGCAGTAAACTACACTGTAGCACCCCGTTTCTTTCTTTGCAGGGTGTCCGCCCGCAGTAAACTACTTCGTAGCACCCCGTTTCTTTCTTTGCAGGGTGACCGCCCGCAGTAAACTACACCGTAGCACCCGTTTCTTTCTTTGCAGGGTGTCCGCCCGCAGTAAACTACTTCGTAGCACCCGTTTCTTTCTTTGCAGGGTGTCCGCCCGCAGTAAACTACACCGTAGCACCCCGTTTCTTTCTTTGCAGAGTGTCCGCCCGCAGTAAACTACTTCGTAGCACCCTGTTTCTTTCTTTGCAGGGTGTCCGCCCGCAGTAAACTACACTGTAGCACCCCGTTTCTTTCTTTGCAGGGTGTCCGCCCGCAGTAAACTGCTTCATAGCACCCGTTTCTTTCTTTGCAGGGTGTCCGCCCGCAGTAAACTACTTCGTAGCACCCCGTTTCTTTCTTTGCAGGGTGTCCGCCCGCAGTAAACTACACCGTAGCACCCCGTTTCTTTCTTTGCAGGGTGTCCGCCCGCAGTAAACTACTTCGTAGCACCCCGTTTCTTTCTTTGCAGGGTGTCCGCCCGCAGTAAACTACACCATAGCACCCCGTTTCTTTCTTTGCAGGGTGCCGGCAGTAAACTCCGCCCCGTTTCTTTCTTTGCAGGGTGTCCGCCCGCAGTAAACTACTTCGTAGCACCCCGTTTCTTTCTTTGCAGGGTGTCCGCCCGCAGTAAACTACTTCGTAGCACCCCGTTTCTTTCTTTGCAGGGTGTCCGCCCGCAGTAAACTACTTCGTAGCACCCCGTTTCTTTCTTTGCAGGGTGTCCGCCCG